GGACTCGGATTTTACCCACGTCAACATGAAGTCGCGACCTCAGCATCCCGCATTCTACCGGTCGCGCCGCCACATTTGGCCCACCAGCTCCTCGGAGTCGAGCAGTGGCTGGGCGAGTCGAGTCTGCCCGAGTCCGGCTCGGTCGAATTGCAACGAGCTCTGGAAGGTCTGGCAGGCCGTCGGTCTCCTCCTGGGCGTCGGCTGGCTCTGTACCATCGGCCTTCAGCGCTATCTGCAAGTGAAGGCCCAGGCCTACCACCCCAGATTCGGCCTGGCCTGGGACGAGGGGTTCACACTCAACCTGCAACTGGCCTGCCTGCTGGCGGGTCTCAGTCTGGTCCCGGGGCTCGTGTACACGTTGACTGTGAAGACGAGCCACTGCGCCAACGACAGCGTCCTCCTCGGCCAGGACACCCGCCATTTGCATAATCTGAGCGCCGTGGCCGCCGCCTTCAGGGCGATTTCGCGCTCCGACAGGACCGATCTGGCCCACACCGACGCCTCGTCAGCCGGTTGGGTCTGCCCCACATCGACGCTTCTTCCGCCGCCACCGCCGCCTCCATCTTTTTCTTCGTATCCACCACCGCCGCCGCCGTCGTCCTTCTCCAACGGCCACCTCTCTGCCGCTTGGCAGGCCAGCGATGAGGAGGAAATCGGCCACCTCCTCCTCCTCTCCCAGCACAACGGCTGTTTGGCTCGACTGCGACGACACGTCAGGCCGTTTTCGCTACTCATCTTCCTCTGTATCGTCTACCTCTTCCTCACGCCGGTCGTCTTTCTTGAGGCCGAGCAGATCAAGCATGAGGCCATAGAACCGCGTAAGTCGGGCCCTATTCCACCCTCCTGAACCACGACAGCCAAGCCTCTTAAAGACTCTCTTGGGGAAGCTAATACTAAAATAGCGTCATCATGTTGTGTCCGAATAAACTAGGTTTTCGAAACTTTCAGAAGATCTTGAATTCGGACAGTTTCGAAAACCTACCTTCTCTTAATATAAGTAATTTAG